CTTCAGAGGTGGACCTGGGCAACGCCTCTTGTCATGACTCGGTTGTCTGCACTTTGAGTAACCCTTTGGACCTCGTCGGGCACATTGTGATTGATCCATTTCATTGTGAATCCTTTCAGTCCTAGGACGACCTTTGGTGCGCTTTAAGTGCAACGGTGGGATAATCAACTTCCCATTGTCTACAGACCAATAAGCTTCATCCGGCAGGGGGCTTAAACTTGACGAGTAGGAGTTCCTGATCGCCTGCTCCGTGTAGTAAGGACTAACCAAACTGTAAGCGCTGAGGGTTATCGACTTAGCTACTGCCATCTCATTTGAACACGGTACTCTTCTGTTTTGATACTTTTGGCATGTACACTCTCCGGTGCGAGTTTCTACGTGTAGAGTAACGAATTGACGATTATGCCCACGTCTTCCACCACCCCAAATACCTGTTTGCACAGCAAAAATACCTTCATTGCGGTTGAACAGAACAACTCTGTGCTTACTTGATTTCTCTTCAATCTTCTGCATGTCATGAAATCAAGGTTCTAAAAGGCGCTAGGCGTAAGGCAGGCGCTCGGCTCTTGACTTGCGCCTTGCCCGATTAGGCGTAGCCTAGGCGTTTAGAGCATAAATGGAAAAATTCTCAAATATTTCCTATTTTCTAGAATAATTCATATAATCCAAGTGCATATAAAATTAGCAATGCCTAGTTCTTAACAGTAAACACTTAACATAACAAATAACAAGCAAATAGTGACCAATCATCTACTAATAGGTGCTTATAAAGGCAAGAAGCTTGTGCTACGTACTGAGGAGAAGGAAGGAGTAGCAATTGACGAGTTTCGAATTTATTTCTCTCTATAGCAGCGGAGCGGTGTGAAGGCGAGAAGAGTGATCGATGACTTTCTCCGCGGCGGCAGAGAGCAGCAAATGGGGCGAGAGATAGGGCGGCAGGCGGTAGCGGCAGGCGGCAACAGATGTTACTTCTCGTGTTTCTGATTTTCTAGGGCAAGAGGCAAGTTTCTGATTTTCTAGGACAAAATGAAGAGTATTGGGATTAACCGCCTAAGCTCGCCCAGGAACGCCCAGGCACGCCTTCTCTCCACTAGGCGCAAACTAAGCGCTACCAGCGCCTTTTACAACGCCTATGGCCAAGTCAAGGCGATCCTCCACCGCCTAGCGCCTAATTGAGCCTAGGCGCGCCTTCTTGAACCCTGCATGAAATACATGATGTGCTATTGAATGACCAGCACGCTCCCTCCCGATAGCGAGCTCCCGTCTCTTCACAAACCACTCGTTTACCTTCCAGTATGTCATCTCCACTAGGACAGATACAGGCATTGCCCTAAGGCCCTTGTAGACTCCATTTATTCTCTCTCCATGGTTGGTAGTTGCAATGCCGAATCTAGCCCTGTTGTCCATGTGGAATGTCCACATGTGCAGATCTTGACCTTCTGCCCATATTACCCCTGCCCGTTGTATCTGACGGATCGTCTTCATCTTCTGCTCGTACTTTTTTGGTTGATGTGCAACCGCTTCAAGACCGAAGAATAAATAATTAAGGCATAAGAAATTTCATTTGAACAATAAACCATGAACAAGCACTGAATTACATTACTGACTGCACTCCACAATTGATCTCTTATGTCTTTCTTCTTGCCAAATTTGTGCTGGAAATTGGCAAGGAAGTGACGAATACACCAGCGCCATGTCCATCCCCATTCGTCGGGAAAATCACAGACGGCGTGCTTAATCCCGGCATGTCGATCCGATATAATTGTAATACCCATTCTTTGTGTGACGTGGCCGTGTAGCTGTTCAAAGAACCATGCCCAACTTAAGTTGTTCTCGCCTTCAACTAATGAAAATGCTAAGGGGAAAATACTTAAATTTCCATCAACCCCAGTGGCAATGAGAAGAGTTCCGTTATACTTCCCAGTAAGGAAAGTTCCATCAACCTGTTAAAATGAATAATTAGTTAGTAAAAATTGAACTTAGTAAAGTAATGAACTAGTACAATAGCTTGAGTCCGTAATATACCTGAATCACTGGCATGCAGAAGGAAAACCCGTCAATGCATGGCTTGAATGTCCAGAACAGACGATGAAACATCAGCTCGTTCTGTACTCGAACTTGATCTTCAGTTTGTACGTTGTTGTACCTCGGCAAGAAAACCGTCCCAGGGTTGGACTCCTCCATTGCGGACATTAGTCTAGGGAGTAAAGCATACGAGTCTTCCCAATCACCGTAGACCTCAGCCATGGCCTTCTGCTTCCCATGCCACACCTTCTTATACCTTATGGTGTAGGAATGTCGATCCTTCACCTCGGTCATGATAGCTTTTATCTTGATATCTGGTTTTGCCTTGATTAGGTGCTTGATGGTTCTTGCCACTTTTTTGCTTTAAGTTGCCGGTGATCCTGTGAAAGTATGGTTGAGGAGCATATGTGGTTGTTCTCTACTGTCCGCATGCCCCAGACGCCCTTTCTCTTCATATATGCAGCCCGAAGTTGCCACATACAACCATAGAAGAGGAAACCGGATCGTACCGGCCGGTTCAACCGGAAATTGGACCAAAAGCGGTACGATGGGCTGATTGTGCTGATTTTATCGTGCCGGCCGGTTTTTTCGGTTTGACCGGTTGAACCGGCCGGTACGATCCGGTTTCCTGGTCTATGATTCAGCTTCATTTCTCCGTATTCTCGTCCAATATGTAGAAAATAATTAAAAAAGAATATTATTTTGCTATTTTTCTATGTTGAAAATGGGTCACCGTGGTTGTATAATGCTCTATTTGGTTCTTTTTTTGATGGATTATATTTTTTATACTATCGCATTTCATTTCTCTATCAATAGTGAAAAACGGTATTTACCGGTACAAAACGGTTGAACCACGGTCGTACCACAAAATACCATACCAGAAAGGAATCCGGTATGATGTCCGGTACGGTTTCCTTTACCATGCATACAACCCTCTCAAGCATTCTTACAAATGACATGCAGTTGTTTGGTGTCAGAATATTTTACCTTCCATTCGAAGTTACGCCGCATGGCTTCTTCGCTAAAAGCATCTTGCACATCGGCTTTCGAAGTGAACGCCATACCCACTTCCAAATTAGTAGTCGGATTATACACAGGCATGGGCCGAAAGTTAGGGGCATCGTTCTAACCATATAAAAATTGATCAGGAACCTCTGTGTAGTAAGGCGTTGGTGCCTGACGGAACGCCACCTCTCTGTCGTCGATATCGTCCGTGTCTTCCTCCTCGCTGACTGATCTCAAATCTTCCTCACTTTCATCGTCACTGGAGCCGAATGGATAGCTCGGCTCAGGATGGTCATCGTTACCAGTATAACCAACATCGTCTTCTTGGTCATGCGAAGTACGCCCAGATCGAAGCAGGCCATTCTGGACCCCAAGCATGCCATTGATTACCGTCGGGCTGAACGATATCGACGGCAGTCTCAGCATGTTGCGGGTATTCTTCCCACCCAACACCTCCTTCAGAACTACCTCCTCCGTAGTTGGTTGAAGTACCACCCCAGCCATACCCTCCTGCAGAAGTATCCCCTCCGTAGTTACTGGAACTACCACCCCAGCCATACCCTCCTGCAAACCATCATCACAAGAATACTAGTGAGAATGAGTTTCACCGAGCGGCTCGGTCTCGACATACACCTCTGCAAGCCGCACCCCGTTGTCAGATAGGAACTGTATCATCATGTTCACCGCGTCATCATCATTTATGACAACTTTTTCGTACATGATTCCGTCAGCACTCATGTTTGGATACCGGTAAGTAATTTGACCAACTCTCATTTGCCCGCCCATACAAGTCCTTTCTGCACAAATGTCACGGAGTTTCCACCGAATAATAAGCCGAAACTTCTTAAATTTACCCATGTCTGCAATTTATAATATTAAGTATAGTATATAATTAGTACATTAGGGATACAAAAACAATATCATCCAAACCCATAAATAACCGCAACTAATTGATCTATCATGAGAAAACTAAACAAATTCATCTAAATTCATAACTAACTAACTAACATCAATCATATCATAATCAATCTAAATATCTCATAACATATTTGTCAATAACCGCAATTCACTAAATACAGACATATAATTACTAATACATCAACATGTAAACAATACATAATTATAACATACCAAATCCCGATGAGTTTCTTGTTGCTGTAAACCAACTCCAAACCAGCAGAGAAAACGACCAAAAAATCACTAATTTTTGTACTAATTTGCTGTAAGACAGCAGGAGGGACGTGAGGGTCGGTTTTTATAAGGAAATATGCTAGCTAATCATTGCAGTGGACAATTGCGGTTAACACATCACCGCTTTTGTCCAAAACGGTGATAGCTAGGTCGCTGTGACCTAATTTTCCACCTACCAGGACTCTAAAACGTGGTCATATATCACCGTTTTGGTCCACAGCGGTGATGCAATCACTGTTTTGCACAACAGCGGTGATGCAATCACCATTTTGGACGGTGGCGGTGATATAATCACCGTTTTGTAGGAAAGCGCTCATAATATCACCGTTATAAACTAACACAGTGATACCTTCACCGTTGTTTTCGAAGGCGGTGATTATAATCACTGTCTTCATCTTTGACAGTGATGTTGAAACTGCTGTACTTTGGGAAACAACTTTATAAGTACTGTATTTAGGGGGAAAAAAATTAATAACTAAAGTATTCTGGAATTTTTTCCAAGTTTTAAGTGCAAATTAAGGAATCCCTTATGCTGGGTTTTATTTTTCTCTTTTTGTTGGGTAGTTCGAATCTTATCCTGCTAGCTTGCCACTTGCCAGGTATTACAGATGAATCCTGATGAATGCAAGGAGAGCACCTGTCTCATAGTCATAGTGGCTTCCGCAAGCTGCCTAATGTTAGTTTCCTTGACACTCAAGGAAGTAGTAGCAGTCATCCTCTCGGGCGACAATATGATAGCATAACATACTCTAATTAATACTTATTCGACCTACTTGAAGAAATGCCAGTTCCACTTATTATCAATCGGACACTATGTTGTGATACATGGTAATATACAGTTTCACTGATGATCATTCTTATACTATCTTATCACATGTTTATTACAGTGATACAATTTCGCAATAACACGAACTGTTTTACAGAACCATTATCGAGGAACATATAAACGTATATACTTGGTTGGAACTTGCTGGATCAACATGCAGACCCTCATATTTACAGCTGATGGTGAAACCCCCAAGTATCCGTACAAAGCAAACGTTATTCATCATCGATTTTATATACCAACGACAGGAAACAACATAAGATGGAAAAAGAAAAGCTTATCATCGGACTACCCTTTGTGCAAACACCAGCAGTACTTTAGTAGAGGTGAATGTCGACACTAATACCTCCTAATTGATCCCTGCTGATCGAGCAGCTGCTCTTCCTGTTCAGTTGCTTCCCGCCGACAAACTTGTGGTGCCCCCCACAACGGAGCCACAGACAGGAGATCCTTGTGAGTACTGCCTGCCCGGCAAGCCGTACTCCATAAACCACGCTCAAGTCGGCCCATATCTCACTACTCTTCATTGGACTAGAGACAAGCCTTGGGTCATATCCATCGAGATCTGATTCTGTAACAAGAACTACCGAGCCATCGTCGAATTTCACGAGATCCTTCGAGAGGAAGAGATCCAAACTTTGCCTTTGGGCCTTCAATATCAGATTTCTCAAACTGCCATAGAGGACGTGGGTTTTTACGTGAAGGTGATAGAATTCTTGAACAGCCTGCAATTGCAAGTTTCCAAGATCAAATGGCGCCGACATAAGGAATGTGTTTATGCTAGCTGCAGAATAAGTCGGAAGGAAAGCTAAAACGAGCACATCCAAAGAAAAACTGAAATAGAAAATGGAGAGTAAAATGCAAAATGAATACCTGCCGTTGGGCAGGTGCAAGAAGCACTCTCGGTCTGATCGACTTTACATATTTGTAGGCGGCATCAGGTGTCATATGCTTGTGCTGTACCTGCATGGAGTTCAACAAGGAAATTCTGAGAGATACCAAAACAGGCTCTACAGTTTCTCTCATCACGTGTACCTTGCTACATCACTTCTTGAAGAGGTAAAAGTAATTATTGTTTACTGGAAGTTTATTTTACCCTGCTCCGGTGAAAAAACAAAGAAAAGACTTCAGTCATTTCATTACTCACAAGGTAGCATAAGACAATGGTGGTGCTGCGTCCTCGACCAGCTTTACAATGGACATAGGTAGTTTCCCCTCGCAGGACATTGTCTACACAATGAAAAGTACGAAACATAAGCATCTCATCTCAATAAATAAATAAAAATACAACTCTCTGCAAGTATTTTATGACCTAGTAAACACACCAGATAATAAAAAGAATTAAAAGATACCGTTAATGAAATCTACGGCAAGGGATATGTCTCTCAAGGAAGGTGCAAAGCAGTAGTCCCTAGTAGGGAGTACCAGATGGTCAATGCCATGTTCCTGCCACAATGTCCAAGGAATAAGCAAATAATACACGCGATTCTGAGTTTCCTAATACTGTATATATGGATGAAATAGCCACTAAACCAAAGTAATACAACTGTTAAGAGTCCATTGACATAAAACTGTCTCAAAACATAGTAAATCGGAGCATGGTGGAAATGCAAATAGAAGATCATAGAACCAAACAAATAAAGACAAGCACTCACGTAATATAGAGATGTGGGAACCAATGTCTCATATTGCTCATTCATGGTAACGACTCCACGAACACCAAGCTCCTTGAGGCATGGAACATCAGTAGCAAATGGAACAGCACCTAACAAAATAAACTGCAGAAGTATGTTTCAGAAACCGGAATACAATTGTAATAAGACTGCATTGTTGTAAGCACCAAACTTTGCGGAAGCAAAAAACCAACTGAGTCTTAGTTAATGAAAGGACGACAATTTGCACTAAAATCTACCCTAACTAGAAGCATCCTACTATTGTATCCTGCCAATGGCGGAAATGCAGAAAGTAAGCATCATAGTGCACATTCAGAATACTATCCACATGAAACGAAAACTCCAATAGTTAGCTAGTGACCCCGTACACTGCTCGAAAAATTACCTCAAGAATGCTACAAATCTAATCCATTGTCACTAACTTAATGCCTAGAATGTTTAGATTTCAATCAATACAAACATGATCAAACGCAAAGACATCTAAGATACAATCACAAGGCACAGATCATACCTCGTCCACCCGATCCCACCACCGGAAGTCAGCCTGAAACTTGTTCCTAACGACATTGTAAAGCAAAGTCGGATAAAACAAAGCCCTGGCTCCCGCTCCGATCAAAACCCGCTTCGCGTCCCAAACGACCAAGCCTCCTCCACCGCCAATTCGATCCTCCTCCGCAATACTATCAACTATATCCAACTCGCCTCCCTCCACCTCCTCAATTATCATATTAACACAACCAAATCACCACTTTCTGCTCAAATTCCAGCAACAGAAAACCCTAATCGAAACCAATCAAACCAACTACACAGAGTTACACAACCACCTCTTTACAAACAACTCACAGCGATCGACCACTAGAAAGAACAAACTCCGTAGATTATCTGTGATCTGAAACGACTGTTTGAATTACGATTCCCAGCAGGAACCACCATGACCATGACACGACGCAGTCGAAGAGAGCGATTGTCGGGGAGTGGCAAACCCGCGGCGGGACGGCGAAGAGGGGATAAAATTTACGCCGGGGGTATGGTTCTTTCCTCCTCTCTGGATGTTGCTGAGATGCGTGAATGGCCGATTGCCGGGATTCTACTTCTTCTTTCTTCTTGTTCTTGGGATCTTCTGCTTTTTTGCGCCTTTTTTTGGTTCGCAAGTTTCGACGGAAGCGTTGGAAGAAGAACGGAAGGTGAAAGGACGGGAAAGACTAGAATGACGTGTAGGTGCTGGACCGATCACGATCGACGCCTTTACTTCCCGACACGTGGCCATGAATCATACGCCCGTCTTTTGCTTCCTCACGTGACGTGACTGGCTGGCTTTTTTTTTTTTTTTTTGTTTTTTGACAAAGATGACTGGCTGGCTTAGTGAGACACAAAATCAAAATCCAACAGGGCCCGCCAACTCATTGATTGAGGTCTATTTTGGGCTTTCTTATGAAATCAGCCCATCTCTCCCAAATTAAGCTCGGCCCATTTTCTACAACAATTTTTTCGGTGTGCTTCTCCTTTCGAACGACAGCTCATTACCGCAAAACCCTTCTTTCCTTGCTATTGTTCCCGCCGGCGCTCAGTGGCGACTCGCAATAACGGCGAACGGACAGCAACGGCAGCAGAGGACAAGACAACTAAAGTTTCCGGTAAGCTTAACTGCTCTTTTTTTTGTAGCGTTCACCCACAATAATTTTTGAACTTTTTCTCACCCTTACTCTCCTCATCCGCCGCTGATCAGAAAGGGCAACGACGGAGGCGGAGGACAGACTGACGGCGACTGCGGCCTGAGAAGTGATTAGTCTCCTGGGTAAGCCCTCAGCATCTTCATAATGATACTTGAAGCCCCATTCTGATGAGTTCGTTCTACCCATGTCCTGCAATTTTGCTTTTTGATTGACATTCGATGGTTCATTCTCTCCTTCCAAGTTGCCAACTTTGTTATTATACACACTTAGATGTATTGATTCTCGACGCTTTTGTTTGAAATTTTCAGTGGGACTGAGTTAAAATGGCACCAACCGCGAAGAGGCCTCACCGGAAATTGGTAGCTAGGCCAGTGACATTCTCCCCATTTGCACGCTCAGCTGCTCACATTGCCTCAGCTTACATGAGTAAGCGTCAGATGATCGAGAACAAACTCCATGAATTTTGTCAACATGCTCCAAGTACATAATCCCATGTCCATGTATATGCCTTGTTTAACTTTTCACTCCTTCTGTGATTATGGTTCTTATCTGCTGCAGCGTTTGTTGTTCTTGTTCATCAGATGGTGAGTGTAACGACAAGAGAAACATAGATGAGACCGGAAGCGATTCCGATGGAGAAAGTTCTGAAGTAAGGAAAATGGGAATGCTGGAAATTATGATTGCTTTGCTCCTTGCTCCATTGCTATTTTGTTATGTGATGGATTTTTATTACAATTTTGAAGGGGGTTGTGCAAGCGGATTTTGCCTTCTTTGATCCAAAACCAGATGACTTTCATGGAGTGAAGACTTTACTTCAATTTTTCCTTGATAATAAGGAGTGGAATTTGTGTGGTTTTGTGGATTTGATACTTGAACAGACGACAGTTGGGACGGTGGTTAAACTGGAGGATGATGATGGTGATGGGCTTTTCTCAGTAGTGACGGCCTTAAACTTGGAGAGATACAAGGTAAGCAATATCTACATATAGACAGCTCTGCACTTGGCTCTCCCTTTCATTACGAAATTCTTCTGTCGTGGTTACTGTGACGAATTGTATGTCAGCTAAGATTCTAGCCATCTGATTAACTCTCAACCCCTATCAAGGTATCACATAATGTTTGTTACATCAAGAATGCAGATTCTGTGAATTGTGATGATGATGTAAATTCCCTACTAATATTTGAAAAGGGATTCTTTGCAGTACTTATAAAGGCTCTTCGTTATGCCAGAACCATAAATGTATGAAGGAACTGGAGGATTATGTTCTAAGTGTCGGCCACGAAAGTAACCTTGTGGACCAGTTGAGAGTACTATTCAGCAAGAAAGCTCGGGATGTTGGTCTCTTGGTCTCACAACGAGTGGTTAATCTTCCTGCCCAGCTTTTGCCACCTCTTTATGATGCGCTCTTTGATGAAGTGTCATGGGCTGTGGAAGACGAGGTTAGTTTGCAATCTAAGATTCACCATACAAAATTTGTTGTACAATGCTCCACTAAAATTTGTACTTCTTTCAGCCGACAGAGCAGCTTCGGAACTCCTTCCGCTTCAAGACCTATTTGATTGTTACTAAAATTTATATGGTAACCCCTTGTCAGTTCATCTTGGTTCCACTACGAGCGGTCTATGTATCTTATCTTAAATTTGGACGTTACTTGCAGCATAAGAAAGCAAATGGTAAACTGGGGAAAAAGGCTGATAGTGAGGAAGAGCCAGTAATATATGTGAAGGCTGAGGACGAGCTTTTTCACGAGGTTTGTACGTCTTTGATGTGCAATTTCATGGTTTGCTTCACAATCTTCTATTCGAATTTTTGATATTGATTGATTCAACAAATCCCTTGTTTACGTTTCAGATGTCTTCATGGTCGTTCAGTTTCCCTCTCAAAATCCAGCATGTCACCACAAGTGAGGCAAGTTTTTCTTTTCATTTCTTCAATAAGTTCACATTCTTTGTCCTGGAACTCTGCTTGGCTTTCTAGTCTCACCCTTTCTATTCCTATTCAAGTCCACTGGGGCAAAGACAAAAGCACCTATGATACTGTGACTTGTACTTTTCCCGGTCTCCTTTATTGCACTCGTCTTCCAGTTATGGGGTCTTTGAAGAGCTTCCAAGGTGTCTTACAATGTGAATATACTTATTTCAGCTGAAGAACTACGTGTCAATGGGGTTGGTTATGGCGGTCGAAGCAGACAAAACCCCTACATTCCGAAAGCAGTTGCGCTCTCTGATCGATGATGAACCCTGAGGGTACTGCTAAGGCAGTTTAATCATAGTTTTCATTTTGCAACTCAGCTGTAATTGTTAAGGGATTCTAGTGTTTTTACTACTTCTTCCAATCATGTGAAGGAATTTGATTTCTCGACCGCAATACCAAAAGTCACTATCCTATTCAGGACTAAAATTTTGGAGTTATACTTTCACTTGTCTGGTGGAAAGATGCATTCTTGACGCAACAACTTGATTGCAACTCTCTTGCAGACTGTTAAACTCTGCTTTGCATGGCTAGTTTCCCAATGTTGCTTTTGGTCTTCTGCTCTGCACAGTCTCTCCCATTGGACTCGGAAAGCTTTTGTTCTTGTGATGTTGCGATCGATTTGTTAGGTTTATTGTCTTGTTGGTGCAGTCTCATGGGAAAGTCTCTCACAATATAAAATGTGGCTCTAACAATCAGTGGCAGAGCCAGAAAATTGGCCAAGGGGTGTCTTTATCATATCATAAAAACCACATTTATAATAGAAAAGTCAACTCTAAATGTAACAAAAAGTCAACAACGCAATACTCTAAATTCATACAATTACATAAAAATAGTTTCAAGTACATCGATTACAACGTCAAACAAATAAGTTCAGTACATACAAGTCAAGACTTCCATTCATCAAATATTACAAATTAGAACTCAGAAGTACCTTCGAATTGATTTTGTGAAACAAACAAGTGAACTTCAATTGGTACTTCTTCACTTTCCGCTTTGTTTAAACAAAAGACAAGAGATTCCTCTGCTGTAGAGCTACAAAAGAAATGAGCAAGTTTAAACAAAAGACAACATTTTACTACTATAAATAAAGACGAAAGTGCATTGCATAACAAAACTCACTTGGTTGAGATGGCAAGGAATTCTCCTTGCAGTTGAATGGTCACTAGTTCTGGTCACTGGTTCGAATTTGTACATACCCCTATTGGGGGAATTTTTTTCCAAACTCAAGGGAGGTGCAAGCACCCCCTCCTCTCCAAGTGGCTTCGCCACTGCTAGCAATATAAAAGGTAGAAATTCGACCACAATCAAAGGAAATTTTTGATTGATACAAAGCAAAAAATTCTCAAGACTAAAGCTCAAAGAACAAAAAAAAATATCAATATATTCATCAAAGTCTGCCAAAAATTAGTGTCTCGAGCCTTTTATGTAGTCTACGACAAATAAAATAACCAAAAATGCGAAAAGAAACAAAATCCTAAACCGAAAAGGTAAGTTTAACCCGTGAGAGGCAATTCCACGACCATCCCTTCAAATCCACGGTCGTGGCATTGGGGTCTTGGGTGGGGAATTTTCCTGCTCAAAATCCACGATGAGTACCTCAGTTCAACAGGCGTGGATTTGGGCTCCTGGGTGTGGATTTTCGTCCCTTCGGCCTTCCTTGCTTCCATGAGGTGTACTCTTCATTCCGCTTCAAGTGGAGTGGGTTTGGGTCGCTGTGGAGGATCACATTAAGGGGGAGCAACATTTGATGGGAAGAATCGATACTAGTAGCTTTCATGGGATAGCATGGAGATCTGTGGTGACTGGTTAGATCTATGCCATCAAGGTCTTGTTGTTCGGCAGCGGAAATGAGTTTTATTCTTCTCGATCTTAGGGGGAATCGACTTTAAAGGTCGTGCAAGCCATTTGACGAGACAGCAGGGGGAGCGACACGATGACAGCAACAGCGGAAGAGTGACCTATAGGTGGCGACATGAGGAAGAAGTAGGGATGGCAATGGATCGGGTTGGGGCGGGTTATGCCAAACCCATGGGTTTATTTATCCACCAAAAAAACCGAGGTAAAACCCACTGGATTTGCAAAACTCAAACCCAACCCAACCCACTGGGTATTGTCACGAACCGAAATGTCGTGACTGTGTTGATCGTATGAAGAACGCTGCCATCTGGTTGTCTTGCCACGAGAGTGGTAAAGGGGGCGACATTAGCGATAAGGAGTTGTCTTCCTATGCATCGTTTCTGGCCGAGAGATCTATCGGATATAACACTTGTCCCAAAGATCGACTTAACTGTGGCCAATGGCTTAAAAGTAGAAGTTAAAGGCATGAGTGATGTGATAGACAAAAGCGTGTCTTTCGTAATACTCTACATGTTCCAGCTCTTGTTCCCAATCTTGTTTCCGTTGGCCAACTTACTGAGCAAGGGTATACTGTGTCGTTTGCTCCTTCTAGCTGTTTTATACAGGATTCGAAGACGGGGAGTATGATCGGAAGGGGGAGTAAGCAAGGACGTCTTTTTCATTTTGAAGAACTACATGGGCATTCCGTATCTCCTATCATTCAAAGTTCTGTGGTTAGGTCTGTCAGTAGTCCTTTGTCTTGTTTAGCAGTTTCAAGTCAGTCAAATAAGAAGTGGCATCCCCACTCAACTCGTCTTCATGTTATGTTTCAAAAGTCTTTGCTTGGTAAAACTCGCGTCAGTATTCCAGAAAATCATTCTTGTAGTGTGGAAGCTAAAACTGCCAGTATTTCTTATCCTTCTAGTACCACGATTATTCATGAACCTTTTGATGTGATACACACAGATCTTTGGGACCTGCCCCTACTGTTTCCCGCAATGGTTTTCGTTACTTCGCTCTTTTTGTTGATCATGCCACCCGGTATACATGGATTTATCTCCTTCGTTTGAAATCCGATCTTCGTTTCTGTGGTTGTTGAATTTCTCAATATGATATTGACTCAATTTGGAAAAACTGTCAAAATTATTCAGTCTGATCCTGGTGGGGAGTTTAGCTCTTTTCCTTTACGGGAAGTATATCGTTCTCGTGGCATTTTAAGTAAAAAATCTTGTCCTGATGTATCACAACAAAATGGCCTGGTTGAACGTAAAAATCGGCATATGGTCGAGCTCACGCGAGCACTGTTGTTAGCGTCCTCCGTCCCTGGTCGTTTTTGGCCCGAAGCAGTAGTCACTGCTGTGCGATTGATTAACTACCAGGTGACCCCTGTCCTCGGTAATGAGAGTCCCTTTTTTAAACTCTATTCTCGTCCTCCTGACTATTCGCGTCTTCGTGTTTTTGGGTGTATGTGCTTTGTTCTTATGCCCCGGCGTGAACGTACCAAGTTAACTCCTAAAATAGCCTGGTGTGCCTTCATGGGGTATAGTGATATTCATAAGGGATACTTGTGATTTGATCCTGTCACCCAACGTATCCGTGTTGCTAGTACAATTTTGTTCTTTGAGCATCTCTATTTTTTTTTACCCTTCCACTCCTTCCGAGTCAGTCTTTCCTCCTACGGATTCTTTGCCCATGTTCTCTTGTGATGATCCGCCCATTGTTAGCATGGACAACATGCTGCCCCCTGATGATCCAGACTCCCCCAGCTCATCTGCTTCACCAACCACGTCATTGTCTTCTAGTTCAGGGGCCTCTTTGTTAGCTAGTGGGACGGGCTCCTCTTCTTCAGCTTCCTCGCCACCTACTGCCCCCGTTGACTCGACTTCGCCTCCACAACTTCGACGTTCTATTCGCAGCAACAAGGGAGTTCCTCCCACTCATCATCAAGACTATTTGGCTTTTGGGGTTACTTCACACGTTATTCCTACTCACTACAAAGATGCTCGTGGTGATCCAGTTTGGGAGGAGGCAATGGGGAGTGAGTTTGATGCGCATCATGCGAATAATACCTGGACAGTTGTCGATCGACCTTCTGATACTCCAACGATTGGGAGCCGGTGGGTTTACACTATGAAGATGTTCCCTGATGGGTCAATCGAGCGACATAAGGCTCGTGTCATGGCATTAGGGTACTCACAGGAGCAGGGGGTGGATTATCATGAGACCTTTGCTCTTGTGGCTCGGATGTCTACTGTACGGACTCTTCTTGCAGTTGCGTCTATGAAGAACTGGCCTCTTGCTAAACTTGATGTGAAGAATGCCTTTCTTCATGGGGATCTGGATGAGGTAATTTACATGTAAAAGCCACCTGGGTATAATGTCGGGACTCCTGGACGGTATGCAGACTGAACTGATCCTTATATGGTCTGAAGCAGGCACCACGTGTCTGGTTTAAAACTTTTCAGTATACTCTTCTAGAGCTTGGATGTAGTCAAAGTATGAATGATCCATAACTGTTTATCAAGATTACGCAGCGGGGTATCGTTCTACTTCTTCTTTAAGTGGATGATATGATCATCACAGGGTCTGACTTGGATGGTATTCGACACCTGAAAGAGGGGTTACAAAAGGCTTTTTGGATTAAAGATTTGGGAGACCTATCTTACTTCCTTTCATTCATAACTGTTTATCAAGATAACGCAGCGGGGTATCGTTCTACTTCTTCTTTAAGTGGATGATATGATCATCACAGGGTCTGACTTGGATGGTATTCGACACCTGAAAGAGGGGTTACAAAAGGCTTTTTGGATTAAAGATTTGGGAGACCTATCTTACTTCCTTGGGATGATATGATCATCCCAAGGGTCTGACTTGGATGATATGATCATCACAGGGTCTGACTTGGATGGTATTCGACACCTGAAAGAGGGGTGATATTTGGCTTTAACATATTGAATTTTTGGACTTTATGTGATTATCTATGGTATGTTTTAGCCAATTGGTGCTATTTTACGGCCCGCTAACCCGAGAATGGTTGAAAAACCATTACTGCCTAGTACTATGAGTTTGATGTGTTACAGGTGAAGAAAACACGAAAAAGAAGTTACACCGGCAAACAATTCTTGAATCACTGACTAAGCAGGACGTGGGCCTGACACATGGAGCTGGGCTCAAGTCCCAGCGGCTGTGAAGAGGACGGGCCAGGAGGTTTTTGGACGGAAGTCCAATTAATTGGGCTGGGCTTTGGTGGAGCTTTGACGCGGAATTTTCTTGGGACAATTACAATGGAAGCCAAGAATTTGGGGGGGATGATAATTTGGGCCAGAAGAAGCTTGATTTAATTGGCTGGGCGGATTTCCAGGTGGGCGGCGGAATTAGAGAACAAAAGGCGGACTTTTGTTTGGTTTTTGGGGGACGGAACAGAGGGTTTATTTTTTTTTAGTTTTGGGCGATATTCTTGGTGAAAAAGAAAGCAAACAGCGGCAGCGAGCTAGCGAGCAGGCGATTGAGCGATCGGCTTCTCCAAGGTTTGAGCTGAGTTCAACGAGAGCGATTAGTTGGTTGGATTTTCTAAACCTAATTAATTGTATCTTGTTGTTTTAGAACATGATGAACAAAACCCTAGCGATTTATCTCAATTTCGTCATGAACTAAACCCCAATTTCTGAGGGAAACACCATAGGATGTAGCTATTTCTTGATTTGATGGATTGATTTATGATTCTTTTCTTCCAATCTCTATTGCATGGAATTGCTTAATGCTTTGTGTTGACTGGCCACCAATACAATGATTTGTAGTTAATTAGGTTATTAGCGACAGTGAAACCCTAATAACTGAACTTATTTCATGTGACATAGTAACTTATCGAAGCGACAGTGGATTAAATAAGGTGCTATGCGGTCTTAAATAGGATATCGATCTTCAGACTATATAGTTAATTCATTGAGCTACGACAGTAGGATTTGAATTGATTATATAGTACGTAGTAATTCCCGACAGGGATAGCTAGCACATTCGTGATATCCTGGCTGTAGAGAGTTGGATTAAACTGATTGGAATATGTGAATTAATCTGGATAGGATAGGTAGTGAATCCCGGTGTTTCTCCCAGAGCTTCTCCCATTGAATTTCTCCCGACAAGTTTACTTTGCTTAATTAGTTTAATTATTTTGCTTTTAGAAATTAGTTTATATCTCAAACCATTTTCACTTATAGTTTGCTCATAAATTTGATAGAATATAAGGTTGTACCAGTCCCTGAGAGACGATACCCGGACTTTCCGGTTTACTACGTGATAGGAATTGAAGCTATACGCTTTTGCCCTATCAAGTTTTTGGCGCCGTTGCCGGGGATTTCCATACCTTATTTTTATTGATTTTTGTGAGTGAACTTTTTTGATCTGGGTGTTAGTGTGCAGGTGAATTTTTCAGGTTAATCCTCCTCGTGCATGCCAAGGAGGACGACTGGCAATTTACTGCCACTAGATCCCGAGATCGAGAGGACCTGCCGACAGAACAGGAAGCAGGTCAAGTTAGGGAAGCAGCCTACCACATCCACAACTCCTAGGCCTTCCCTAACTCAGAATCGTCAACCGAGAAGGCAGGTGACACCACATGTCATCCCTACACCACCTACACCACCGCCGCGCATCATCGAACCAGTCATCATGGCTGAACAGGATCGTTCGATCAGGGCTCGTCTGAATCGGAGGACTGGAGCCCGAGCTTCATGTGTTGTCATTCCGGCTGGGGATGCAAACATGGAGATAGCCCCAGCCTTCATCAATATGATCACGAATGGGTACACCTTCTCTGGGGCCAGCACCGAGGATCCTCATGAACATCTCCGCCGGTTTGCAAACATTTGTGACACTATGAAGAGCCCGGCTGTGTCTGATGATGCCATCCGTCTTCGGATGTTCTTGTTTTCTCTGCTAGGGAATGCATCCCACTGGTTCCAGAACTTGACACCCCGTTCCATCACAACATGGGGTCAGCTTGAGAAGACCTTTTTGGATAAGTACTTTCCTCCTGCCAAGGCAATGAAGAGGCAAGAGGAAATTGTCACTTTTAAACAAGCTGAGGATGAAAGTCTGACCGAGGCATGGGAGCGCTATAAGGAGCTTCTAATGAGATGCCCGAGCCACGGTCTGGAAGATTGGAACGTGATTTCCATTTTCTTCAACGGAATCAGAAGGCAATACCGAGATGCTCTGAACAATGCTTCCCGGAATGGTTTCACAAGAATGGAAGCACCAGAAGCATATGAACTGGTGGAGAAGATATGCTCTGAAGATACTGAATGGGGTAGTGAGACCGGCATTCGAAGGAGAGGAGGCTTGCATGAGATAGACAGAGTTGCAAGCTTAGAAGCAAAGATTGATGCTAAGCTGGATTCCAAGTTCGATGCACTCGAACGAAGGCTGGCTAAGTTGGCTCTTGGTAGACAGGAGGAGGTTGCTTATTGCGAATTATGTGAAGGTGCTCATCACAGGGATCTATGTCCACTGGTGGCTGATCAGGTGGAAGATGTGCACTATATCAACAATCAGAGAAATCAATGCCAGGGTGGGATGTATTTGAATACCTACAACCCACAATGGAGGAAGCATCCTAACTTTTCCTGGGCGAACAACAACCCAAATGGTGCTCGCAACATTCCACCTCCAGGCATGCAGAAACAACAACCTCCACCTCAACCAGAGAAGAAACCACAACTTGAAGAACTGCTTCTGGCTCACATGCAGAAAACCGACAATAATCTGAAGGGCCTGGACCAATTTGTCACTCAACAGCTAGCCATCAACAATAATTTACAATCTTCTATGCTAGCTATGGAGAGGCAGATGGGACAGATGGCTCAAACTCTGGCGGATATGCAGGGCAGGATTCCTGGGACATTACCGGCTAATACAGAGAGGAATCCAAAAGATGCTAAAGTTGTGGCAGTGACATTGAGGAGTGGTAAGGCCTTGGAAGACCCTAGCAGCTCGGAAAAGGCACCAGTGGCAGAAGAGGAAGCACCGGGAGAAAGATCTGGTGCAGAAAGTGAAGAATGAGCCTTGCACAGGCAAAATGAAAGCGGTTTGCCTGTGCAAAAGCATGCTGCCCGTGCAAAACCAGAAGAGGAAAAAGCGAAGAGGGAGGAGCTAAAACCTTATGACCCACCCGCACCATTCCCTCAAAGGTTGATGAAGCCCCTGGAGGACCCGAACTTCAAAAAATTTGTGAATCTCTTCAAGCAGTTGCACATCAACATTCCACTAGCTGAAGCTCTTGAGCAAATGCCCACATATGCCAAATTTCTTAAGGAATTGTTGACAAAGAAGAGAAAGTGGACTGATTTGGAGAAAGTAACACTCACACCAGAGTGTAGTGCTGTTATCCAAAATAAATTGCCAGAGAAGAGGGAAGATCCAGGGAGCTTCACCATCCCATGTATTGTTGGTGAGACAGAGTTTACAAAGTCGCTTTGTGATCTTGGAGCCGGCATAAACCTCATGCCATATTCTGTTTATAAGAAGCTGGGACTCCAAGATGTGATCAAACCGACTCGAATTACTCTACAGCTGGCTGATCGATCAGTAAAGGTCCCCAAAGGCGTGGTGGAGAACGTGCTAGTGAAGGTGGGAAAGTTCATCTTCCCCGCCGACTTCGTCATTCTGGAGATGGAGGAGGACAGGGAAGTACCTCTCATTCTTGGGAGACCCTTCCTAGCGACAGGGGGTGCTCTCATAGATGTCCAAAAAGGCGAGCTGACATTCAGAGTCTGTGGGGAAGAGGTAAAATTCAATGTATACCATGCAAGTAAGTACCCTAATGACTCTAGTGATGTGTTTGCGGTGGATGTCATAGAATCATGCACTGATGCTGTTTTGAACAATGATTATGATGCTGATTCTGAGTTTGATGATTCTGATAATGAACTTGATGAGCTAACCGTGTCAAAGAGGGCACAAATGCTCGAGGCATTACCTATGCAGGTGGAAGGTGATGAAAAGGCTAAGTTTCCAGAGAAAATGGTTCCATCTCGGATCCAGCCTCCGGAATTGGAACTAAAACCATTGCCTAGTCACCTTAAGTATGCATATCTGGGGGAAAACTCCACTTTACCTGTGATTGTTTCTGCTACACTGACTGATTCGCAGGAACAGGAGCTCTTGAAGGTCTTACGCCAGCACATACAGGCTTTAGGTTGGACTATTGCCGACATCAAAGGCATTAGTCCAGCATTTTGTATGCATAAGATCCTTCTAGAGGAGGAGTCCAAGCCCTCCGTCCAGGCACAACGGAGACTAAACCCGCACATGAAAGAAGTGGTGCATAAGGAGGTAATGAAACTATTGGATGCAGGTATTATTTACCCTATCTCTGACAGTACTTGGGTTAGTCCCGTGCATGTGGTCCCTAAAAAGGGAGGAATGACAGTAGTGAGAAACGATAAGGATGAGATGATATCTACCCGAACTGTTACGGGCTGGAGAGTATGTATAGATTATAGGAAGTTGAATGAGGCGACCCGAAAGGATCACTTCCCTCTTCCTTTTATTGATCAAATGCTCGAACGGTTGGCGGGTCATTCTCACTACTGTTTCCTAGATGGTTACTCTGGTTATTTTCAGATCCCAGTAGCACCGGAGGATCAAGAGAAAACTGCTTTT